GAGAGTCAGAATGCTATTGTGCTCGTTATCCCGAACGTTCGAGAGTGTCAGGTAGTTGAGAGGATTCTATCGAACCGTAATCAGCACATTTTTTAAAATATAGTTTGTTCGATGCAGTGGCAGTGGTTGAAAGATGAAGCTGCTTGTTAGTGTCAATGTTTGAATGAAATGTTTGTTTCGATTTGTGATTCAGTTGAGAAATACTCATCGGTATGATTGTATTGAATTGTTTTGGGTGAGTGAACAAAACGAGGGTATAAAGCAATTAATGAGAGCATTAGTATTGTTTTGAAGTAATTCTTCTGCATTTCGGATGATGATAATCCTATGATTATGATTTCTTATGTGATACACATTCATGTTAGTGATGGATGGCATGTGAGCGAAATTTCGTGTCGGTCGGCATTTTGAATTTCCGGCAATTGCGATTCTGACCGACCTTCCAAACTGCTCGTTTAGAATCTGACACTCAGAATTCCAACCGATCCGATGTGATTCGGAGAGATTTCAAATATTTGTGCTCCATTCGGAGAAATTTCAAATATTTCAAAATTCCCGCTGGCTAAATGTGATGATCCGCTGAAGAGTACTTTATGTGTGCATTGCAACTGATATTGATGATGATGATGATGAGGATCAGAGTTTATTGGTGATAAAGAAAAGGATGTTAGCGACTTTTGGAATGAAGTGAATTTGATAGGGGGGAGAGCGAGCGAGGGATTAGCACCATCATATTCGCTTGTAACACCACCCAAGTGCTGATCCGTTAAGGTGCATGCACAACTCTAAATTGTGCTTTCATTTAATACGGAGTTCTGGTTTTTCACGTGTTACCATTCATTAATTGATATTTCGAGTCTAGAAATGCGAAAATTATTACGTTTCTCACGCTTTCGGGAGCATAGTTATGTGCTCTCCTTACAATCAGCATGCTGCTTTGGTTCACGCCCATTTGCCAACCTACGACAACACCATTTCCAAACGTATGTAAAATTGCTTCGTCGCAATTGTATTGTTTCTGGTGCTTACGAAAGTGAGAAAATTACTTGAATACGTTCTTGTCGGTTGAGTGTTTCTCTTCTTGCTCTCCAAATTGATTCATCTCACAGTTTGTTTATCGTCTGTGATGTGTCTTTTCATCGTTTTCTTATTCATCTGTTGGTGAAGTTTCGATAGCTTTCGCTGTCTTCTCTCTTCGAGAATATTCCAAACTGAACTGATTTGTCAGACAACTCTAATCAAGTATTTTCACCATTTATTGGTTTCTATTTGAAGCGTTCAGCCAGGCGTATTGTGATGTTCTTCTGGCTTATATTTATCAACAAAATATCCACACAGTTCGTGTGACTGGCAATTAGTATATTCTTCGCTTTATTTTTCATCCTTTCCCAACGGGTTTTTTTCCGAAATCGTCGTTGTTAGATATGATAGAATGTTCTTTTAAAAAAAAAAAACTGAATTCAGGTTTCCTGACTGCACAACATTCGAGCGCGTTCATACATTCCAATGGCTGGCGAAAAGATCGATCTAACACCCGAAAACGTTTGTGCTATATTAATCACCGATGTGTATCTGATCCGTTATTCATGACGTTCTCGTGTATTTATCGGAGAGAAACGTTGCAACATATGTTGCAATTG